CTTGCCACTCCTTACACTGCCACGATTCTGCTAGAATGTGCCACATCTGTCTCTTCAGTTGTGACTCTTGGTTTTCATGAGATCCTATCAAGAAGGAGGGTGGCAGATTCGGTGAACTGAAGGTTAGGAGATCAGAACACAAATCGCTCCAAACAGCTTTGATGTTGGCGTCGTCTAGTGGAAAGTTATTGGTCAAAAGTGAACGGAGAAGTGAGGTAGCCGACTGGGTAACCCATGGCGTAGCGAAAACGTTTTTCAAAACAGCCCACAGGTGGTGAATTGTGCGCAGACGGAGCAGTTGACTAAAATTCACGCCCTCAGTATTGGCTTCTTTAGACTTTCCTGTACCGGTGAGGAGACAGAGCATCAATAAAACCACACGATTCGCGATATCTGGTTCGGGGGAGAGATGACCACAGCCTTGAGTTAACTGAGTCTGACAGAGCAGCAAGGCTTGCCAAATTTGAAGCAACTCATCCTGAAAATGTTTCAGAAAATTAGAATGTCAACAGAAGAGAGAGAAATTATATGGACGCACAGATAAAGGAAGTTCTCGGCCCTCGCTAAGAGCCTTCTCAATGCAACCAAACCAGATCTGTATGATTGTGTTCCAATGAATAGACAGTTCTGCTTCGGTCAAGCACCTGACTTTAGATGTCTCGAAATCCCATAAAGGTACTCCCGTCAGATGAGTATCTGCACGTAAGACTGAACCATCGAACATCGCCTTCCCCAGAATACAATCTATATTCCATCCTCCTGGAAGATCGTTGTGTGTGACAGGAGATCCAATCGCACTTATGAGCCTGGATAACAATGAGATTCCTGCTATATGCACGCTCTGATGCTTGTCCTTGACCATTCGATCGACGACATCTAACGCCTCTTTCACACTGTCTCCTGGTATTGGGTGATCATTTCCAAGTAAGGCGTACAGTATAGCAGCTCCAATACCTCCATGAAGCTCTTGCTTGATAACTTTCAAGCCACCAGTGAAATTGTCGACATGACGCCCTTCTTTCCGGTTGCCAATATGGTCCAATTCTCTGAACGTCGCCCATACAAGACAGCGCCATAAACTCGAATGGACTTGCTTGGGCAGAGTTTTCTTCAATCGACCCTGTTTTATGGTGTTGAATAGAAGAGGGAGGAATCGAGTTCGGAAACAAATTGTGCCATCGGAGATGACGATTATCGAAGATAAGAGAGAATAAGACCATAGCGGATTATTTCTGTTCGAACTTTGCAGAGAATCTTCGATGGTCTGCGTTAGTGTTTGGGAATTTTCTTCTCGGATACTAGAAGAAGTATTCACTCTGATGAATGTTGATACAGCATCAGCGAGTCGCAAACGGTCATCTGAAGGGACATCACCCCGAAGAGAAGCAAGGGCGAAACCACCCAAGGCAAAGGCAGCCTCTGTTCGAATGGTCTGCGCCGGAGATAGTAGATGATTCAGAATAGGTGGAAGAAGCTTTGAACAGGGTGACAGGAAGACCGTTGGATGACTTGTCATGAGATTGTAATGAAGCTAAATTTCTACTAGTGAGTTGATTACATAAAGGAACGGGGGAAACACTTACCCTGAAAACATCCTTTATAAGACCTTGTTCGCTCTGCGGGATGATAGTTTGCTTGACGGCTTGAAGGATCTTCAAAATTTCTGTACTCTTGCTCTGGAGTACAACCAGAGGCAGTCGTTGAAAAGCCACAGCACATGTAGCGTGAGCATGAACCTTCGCTTCATTTGGAGTTGGAAGAAAAGGAGCCAGAATAATTTGACAGACTATCCCAAGTAATTGGCTCAAATCATCATCTGTATATGAATTCATTAGTCAAGTGAAGGAGGGTTCAAGAGATCATTTCACTTACCCAAGAAACACGACGATAGGAACGAAAACTTGAAGATAGTCGAGAGGAACGTTAAAGCATATTGACATAACGATGATACGTCCGATGCATATTTAAGCTCATCATCAGTACATTCACGTTGTGAATCCGGGATAGAAACGGGGATGGCGTTACTGTAGACCACAGGTTCCGGTACAGGGTTGATCAAAACAGCGCCAATATCCCTTCGAAGTGCTTTTACGAGTGACTCTGCGTGACTTGCGAGATATTTTATCGACGGGGGAATATCACCGCATTCAGACAAAAGAGTGAGCGCGTGACCGACACGCGTTGAGAGAGTGCAGTACGCTTGGAGAGTGTCGACAAGGGTGACTTGTTCAAAGCCATCTCCCTCCACGGTTTCAAGGAGGGTTTCCACAGGGGACTTGAAATAATTTTCATTCTTACAGAGGTCTTCAATGTTGGCCATAATGCGCTGACGTTGTGAAGACAGTAAGAGAAAGGAGGAATTGAATGTTTAGAGATGGTGTTACTCTTCAGATGCGTGGAAATTATTGAAGTTGGTGTTATTGAGGAGTTTGATTTGTGCCAAAAATTCCAGAGTTATGTTCGTTAACACCGCGCATGTAGGGACGGAGTACGGTCTCTTTACAAGACAATGGCCGTCAATGTGATCGCGATCTGAAAATCGCTCCTGTTCGTGAGATATGATATCAGCTATAGCATATTGTAGCAGTTTCGTTCGAATCGCTTACTGAACTAAAGCCGTATTGAAGGGACGAAAACGTCGTGGAGTCAAAACATACAATCAGATGGTTTGAGGCGTACAGTGAGAAAAGAGTTCAAGGGGAAGACGCCCGAAACAACAGAGGCGGAGATTCAAATTATTGACACACGTGACCGTGATGCGAAGGTAAATATTAATCTGTACTGTACTAGTTACCATAATACAAGTTTTTTTTTGCGAAATTCTCTTCAAATAGAAGCCTTTCCTCGCGGCTCAAAGGGCAGAAGCAACGCGATCACCCCCGCCACAATGAACAATGCTCCACTAACATATATCGGTACGGGTGTGGAAAGATCAGCATATAAAGCAACAATCGGAGCCTACAAAACAGAGAAGCCAAGCGATACGATTCCTCAGTAACATGGCCGATATTAAGATAAAATGAAACACCCACCATAATGCCGAACACACGATTCGCCGTAGCGACAATCGCATTCCCAGTTCCCCTATCCTTCGTAGGGAAAAGCTCCGGTGAAACAGCATACAAAACTCCATACATCACATTACTGGTGAATGTGAAACCACAATTCCATCCTAACAATGCATTTGAAGTTCGAGCGGTCGTGCTTGCAAACAAAAATACACCAGTGATGACTGCCCAAGAGACCGTTAGTAAGCTAGGCGACCTCATTCGGCTGGAATCAGAAACATACTTGTGAAGATGGCCAAGGTCCCCTTGCGACCTAGGAGAGGGATCTCGACGAGCCATCCAGCAAGGAGAGCTCCAGGAACGCCAATGACACTTAATATGACTTGCTGCGATGGGAGAGTGCAATTTAACATCATTACAAGGGAAAATTTATCCAAGTAGGATGCTTACATTGCGATAAGTGGTGTTGATAGAACCATCACCAAAGTCAGCACCCCGTAGTTGCAAGCTGAGCATGGAACAATTAGAAATCAGCAACGAGAAACCGAAATCTCTCGGTACTCACAAAAATGTCACGAAACCATTGTACCTATAAAGGCGAGAACATCAATATGAGCAAAGAGGACGCAAACCGCGCATACGAAACTTACAGAGGGAATGCAAGGCCAATAAGTGCTACAAAACCGTTATCAGTCAGACAATTCAACAGATTTGCATACGGCTTACCCCATATCACCGTCAACAAACTCGTCGACCAAGCCAATTTCTTCGTAGCGAATAATCCTCTAACATGATCACCATTGAACTTCATCAACTTTCTCTTCAAAGCACCTTTCGCGCTCGTGTCAATCCCACCCCCTGCTACCCCAGTTTTGTCATCTTCAGTAATCAGCGTTCCAGCGACCTCAACTTCTTTCAATGTATCAATGGTGATTTGACCTCTCCCTCGCTCTTTTCCGCTATCATCCCACTGAATTCCATTATATTCCGCAACTTTCCGAACAACCTCAACTGCCTCTGCATCTCTTCCCCGTCCCATGAGATACTTTGGAGATTCATAGAGTGTGAAGACGAAAAATCGGAGTACCCAGAGGAGGAGCATTAAACCTCCCATCGCATATACGAAGTATCGCCATCCGTTGTTAGTAGAGGGCGGACAGGTTTCGGGTGTTGTGCCTGTGCACGAAAAGTTTGCGATAAGTGGCCAGGCAATCTGTATGGAATAAGTTGAGCATGAAAAAATCAGATATGTGGAGCAATAATTACTAACTAAGCTACCGAAGAGTTGACCAAACGCCCACCAGATGGATAGAACAGTGAGAAGGTACTGGTGTGACGCAGGAATGAATTCTACACGATTGGTTAGTATCGGAAATGAGTTCTTTTGCAAGTAACTCACCGAGGAATACCGCTGAATCGACTGGTAAGTTACCTCCGACGCCAATGCTCCAAGCAGCAGCCAAGGAACATAATGCAACCTCACTACGGGATCCTCCTGCTGCCACCGCAAATACACCTACCGCACGACACATGTACTGTCAGGATTAGATGACATTCACAGAGTGAGAACTTTCGTACCAGTTATGAATAACGTAGCATTGAATGCAAACTTTCTTCCCCATATATCCGCGGCAACTCCCCATACGGCAGCACCAATTAACAAACCAATATTCTGACCAAGCTTGAGAAATGGTCCTTTGAAACCAAGTTCAGCAGTTACTGGGCCGAGAATGAGACCTGTTACTATCTGTGAATATGACGATTTTGATTGGTATGCATTTCCTTCCAGTAAAATTGGAGAGGAAACATACAGGCCAGAGATTGTCACTGGGAATGAGATTGTAATCGACATTCAATATGGTAATTTTAGAAGTATTAAGGGCAGTTCACTCACGAAAACCATCCAAATCCAGTGACAATGAACAAATACCACTGTCAAAAGCTGTGAGTTTTTGACCGCGACTTCAAGACATTGCAAAAAGAATGAATGGATAGCAACTCCTGGTTTCGATCCAGGGACTTCGGGGTTATGGGCCCCGCACGCTACCACTGCGTTAAGTTGCTATGCCAATGATCGAAGTGACGAGAGAAAGCTGCACGACTCTGGAAAAATGATAGATAGAGAAGATTGTCTTGACTCTTCCCCGTTGGAAAAGTCAAGAAATGAGCCTACTCGCATACCTGATATCTGCCCATCCCGATCTCTTGCAATGCATCGTTCAGAATTGTAGCCTTCGCGTGATACACAGGGTCCATTCCAGCATCTTCTTCATTGTAAATGTCTTGTGTTTTTTCCTGCTTAGACTGTTCGACAACTTGTACATCGTTTTCTTTAGATTTTTCGTCGCCTATATGAGGACTGGACGCGGTTGAGTTCATAGTGACCAAGAGTTGTGAAAAGGGAGTGACGGGTGCGAGATAGTTGAAGCGAGAGAGAGTTGGGTTTTCAAGGTTCTGACTTCGGGAAGCGATAAGAAGACAACCATATCGTGCGCCTGTAAAGCTCTGCAAGAGAAGAAGATGGTTAGTCGTTTACAGCTTTCGTTCATCAAAGTCAGCAGAAGCTACAATTTGTCCACATCATATCCGTTCTAAGTGCGTGGTGGAGTTTTTCCACTCAAGCATTGGAATATTGGACCGTAGTCCTGGACCTTACATAAAGTGGGTTTCGACGTACCTTTCATCCAAGGATTGCGCAATTCAGCCCCAAATCTTCTCATCGAGTTCTCTCTGCGACATTGCCGCAATGGAGAAGAAACGCTTCAAGCAATGTTTGTCATAGAAATCTGTCGCGAGAGGATATCACCAAATAAAAATCAGATTGACATAGTCTTGAGATTCGAAGGATGGGCCCTTAAGTATTAGCACAGCGAAAAGGTTCATCAAGTTCAAGTTTAGAGTCAAGCTTCTCGGCGAGAAACAAGTTGGCGCTTGGTAAACTTTGTATCTTGATCTACACGCATTATGTAATCAACGGGATTCCCACGAATCAATCAATGTCATCTTCAATTTCAACTTGAACTTGACAGACACCTGAAATTTGAAACCTTGAACGATACTTATTCCTTCGATCTGCCGAGTACGTTGTGGTAGAGTGAGAAAGCTCACTCGTCGAAAAACTAATTCTTCTTGTTTCTTATTTAGGTCACTAATCACACCAGAAGAAGCGGGTCGAAGAATCGAGCGCCTTCAAGCTTCAAACGCGACGACGAACTTTCACCTTCGACCACGACCTCAACCTACTCCAAGATGGCTTAACTCCCTTCAGTACTCGCGACCGCAACTCCTCAAGACTCCGGAATGCACAAGAACATATTATTTCGTGGACTTTGAAGGATCGGGCTTGGCGGATGATTGAGGCACACGGAGTTTTATTTCATTTTCGTATGTTTTTCTTTTTTCTTTCATTTGTTTTCATTGGGTTTGCCTTGTGTTAAGGTAGCCGAGTACATGCGGAACGTAGGGGTTGAGAGTGCCGTGCAAAATACACGCAGCCTGGGGCAGCTGCATGGCTTTGAGGGGAGCCAGTGTATTTCTCGTCGACGCCGGTGATTCTCCCCTGAGCAATTGTCCGTAGCACGAGGCTACTGAATCTCTCGGTGAATTACCACCTTTGGTTTCGTTGGTGATGTCAATGGCGCGGCAGAATAGTTCTCTTTCATTATCTTTTTTATTTTTCGCTTTTATTTGATTTTATCTTTCGTTTTTCATTGGCTACCCGAGAAGGAGGCGGCAGCGTGAGCAACGCGTGCCGCAAATCCGTTTGTACTTAGCCCGCCGTTCGCGGTAGTGAGCTCCCTATTCAACCTTTTGACTCGAAAAGTCCACTGCGTGCTGAATCCCGTCGAACGCGACGGTTATCGAAGTTTTATTGATTTTTAGTCTAAGTCTTACATCAGTTACTCTACTACCCTCAAGATCATCCTCCTCCTCTCCTCCTTTTTCCCCCGACAACTCTACCGACACTTCAAGAAACACTCTCGCCGCTAACGCGGGGTGTTATTTTCACTCTACTCGTATACTCACACACGCTCGGGTTCCGACCTCGAAACGGATCTACCAACGCGCGGCCTATTCTTCTACAAAGTGGTGACCACCGCAGGGGTTCAGGTTTTCCGTGAATCTTTGCATAACAGGGCTTTCGAGGTATCGTTTGCTCTTTCTATTTCTGCTAATTACTATTTTTTAGATACTTTCTATGGGTTCTCTTGGAGCTACTCCCATGAACGTCGGTGGTAGTACCACAACGGTCGGAGGGGGAAGTTCTGGGACAACTGGAGCTGGAGTTCAGAGCCAACCTGGCAATGTCTCTATGCTCGCGGTTAGGTCTTCGATGCCACGGCCGAATTCTAAGGATGCACCTCAATTCAAAGGACGACACGTTGAAGATTTTATCGAAGAAATCGAGGAGCTTGCACGCAACGCGAACGTCGCAGAGTCTCTCTTACCAAACTGGGCACTTCGTTACTCCACAGACAAGGTCAAATCGACACTTCGTTACCTTCCTGCATTCAAGAGTGGCAAGGTTTGGGATGCAGCCAAGGAGACTCTCCGTGACCTTTATCAGTCAAAGGACACCAAGCGGCATTTCAATGAGAAGGATCTGCACTCGTTTTGCAAGAAATCGGGGGCTAGAGATCATTTCAAGTCTCGCGCCGAGGTCGACACACACGTTCGCAAGTTTACTCGAATCGCGTACGAACTTCTCGAACGGGGCATCATCACTCAGTCTAAACTTGACCACTCCTTTTACAAAAGTCTTCCTGAACTCGTTCGCCGCCACGTTCGCAGCAAGCTTTCATCCACCAACATCAAATCTATCGATTCCATTAACATGCAGCTCAAATACGTTCGGGAATTCTATAGTGAGGAGGATATTGATGCGGATTCTGACAACGACGAGCACTTGGAGGTGAATTCGGATGATGAAGAGTCTTCGGGTGATTCCGACTCTGATTCTGATGATGAACCTACTAAGTCTTCATCCGAGAAGGAAACCAAGTCACGCCCAACTCCTGAAGGATCTTCAAGCGTACCTCCAGCACCCACGTTGCCTGTTCCACGAGATCAAATCACGGAGCTCAGCGAGCAGCTGCAGCGGCTTGCCATAGTTGTTCAGGGCTTGCAGACCACTCCAGGCCAGGGTATGTCTTCGGTAGCTAAGGTGCAGGTGTGCTACATGTGCAATAAGGCTGGCGAGCATCCTGGAGGGTATGGAAGGTGTCCAGAGACGAGGAGGTTGATTGAGGAAGGATTGGTGATGTATAATCCTATGGGTAGGTTGGTTAGAGCAGATGGGACAGAGCTTCCCTTCTTGCGGCCAGGTGCTGGAGGTATTGCGTTGGCCTTAAGGGCAGAAAGGCGTAACGGAAAAGGTAAAGGTCGCGAGGAACCACCACACATGGGCCAGAGTGTGAGCACGATGACATTGGGTCTCGTTTCGGGGTACAGTGGTCAGGATTTGCTCCATGGTGATGTCTACGCTATAGCGGCACCAGAGTTTGATGCATTTCCGGCTGCTCGTTCCTCGAAAAAGGACGTTCATTTTGACCCTATGTCAAAGAAGGAGGATGGTTCAGGTGCAGGTAATACTGGCATCAAGATTCATGTTTCGGGCAAGGGCCAACCTCCATCCATCACAGTTCATCACCCAGAGCTTTCGACAACTCCACCTACTCTTGTTTCCAGCAAAACTGTCCCCCAGCCTGTCATCGAAGAAATACGTTCACCGGGGGTTCAGCAACAGCAGAGATCTGTCGCGAAGAAAGTTCCTAAGCCTACGGTGGTCGAAATTGAGGACGCCGACATGAAGGACCTTCCATCATCACGAGCGAAGACTCCAACATATCGTTTTACCTCCGATGTTCAAGAATCTATCAGCTTCGATGACATGCAATCCCGTATTCTTGACACGCCGGTTACTATTTCACTTCGAGAGCTCTTAGCGTCGTCGCCAGAGTTTCAAAAGAGGTTGACCACCATGACGAAGACTCGGCGCGAGTATCTCTCGGGTGCTCATTCAGTTTCCTTTGGCGAGGTTGAGGAGGAAGAAGAGGAGGTAAAGGAAGTCTACCATATCACATCGAGGTCATTTTTGGAGCTTAGGCAGGGAGAGGATTTGGACGAGGTTTTGGAACGGTATGTACATGCAGTCATGATTTCAAGACCCCTTCCCTTTTTCGCGATGACTACGGGACGACTCGAGGCTACGATTGGCCCCCACACCTTCTCCTGCATGATTGATACTGGCTCCGAGTTGAATGTCATGTCGGGGGCCGCATTTGATCTACTCTCATCTCCCCTCGACATGGATGGATCTCGTTGGTCACTCCGTGGTATCAGCGGGGAACCGGTCACCATTCAAGGTTGTGCTCGCGATGTTCCTTTCGAGATCGGTGGATACAAGTTTCCTCATCACTTCTTCGTCGCGCAACCTGGGGCAAGTATTGGCAAGCAAGATGTTATCTTTGGGCAGCCGTGGCTTCAGTGGTTCTCAGCATCCATCAACTACAGTCGAAACAGTGGGAACATGACCATTACTGTTAGGCCTTTAGGTGACGATCCGGGTCCTTCGATCACGCAGAAACTTGTTCATCCAGATCATCATCGAAACACAGATCGTCTGGTGATGGACAAGGGTTTTTGAAGCAGGGTACAGTGCAGCACTCAGAAAGAACGTCGACTGTGCCTGCTGCGATGTTGGGACGTTCTCTATATACCCTACTAGGCGATAAGTCTTTCTCCTCACTCTCTGACTCTAATAATTTTTCTTCTCTCTTACCCCCTCCCGAATTTGACTCTATTCTTCAAAATATCTCTTTTATTCTTCCTTCTAATATTTCCCCTTCTTCACTTTCATTGCCGTGGGTTAAACGAGCATTAGCTGATGACGCTTCACATGCTTCGGCAGTATGCAAGTACAAACCCGTGGCGAGAAAAGTTCATCCTGTTCCTACCTATATGCCTAATCCTTCAGCTCAGGTTTTTAAGCCTATTCCAAATCCTAATTTCAATCCTTTACCTTTTCATCCCCCTCCTTTATCCTCTTTCATTCCCTCAGAATG